CCCCCAGCCCTGCCCCCCCAGTCTGATGTGACAACCGCAGCCATGCCTACCCAGTGGGCCACACCCACCCAATGGGCCAAGCCTCCGTGCCCTCCCCTGAGGGCACCACAATGCTGATGCGGCCCTGGCACTTTGCAATAAATAAGTGGGTTTTGGGTTGTGGTTTGGGCACTTGGTCTCTAAAAGGTTCGCCATCACTGACTTATAGTCATTGATAGATAAGACAATGCATTCAACGGCAGGCTGCTTTTGAGACAGAGGGATTTGGTGAATTTAAGGTTTAGAGCAGTGTTTTTTAAACATGGTAACTTTAAGATGTGTGAATGCTGGCTGGGGAATTCTGGGAGTTGAAGTCCACATATCTTAAATGTTGCCAAGTAATGTATTTTATACATTAGTGGTGTTTTCACATCAAGTCTTTATTGCACAAGTGTCCCATTGTAGAATTTGGGGGAGGGTTGCCCAGGCATATAGAAGACATAGAACCATAGACTGGTGCTGGAAGGGACCTCAGAGGTTTTCTAGTCCAACCCCTGCTCAAGGCAGAAGTCTTATATCATCTTAATCAAATGGTTGTCCAGGCTATTTTTGAAAACCTCCGGTGACAGAGCACCCACAACCCCAGGAGGCACATTATTCCATTGATTAATTGCTCTCAATGTCAGAAAATTTCTCCTTACTTCTAGATTGGACATGATGGGTAGGCTGAGAGAAATCATGGAGATAAACAACAAGAAATGGAATTTGGCCTAATGCTGGGAAAGATGGAGGGCAAGAGAAGAAGGGGACGACAGAGAATGAGGTGGCTGGATGGAGTCACTGAAGCAGCAGGTGTGAGCTTCAACGGACTCCAGAAGATGGTAGAGGACAGGAAGGCCTGGAGAGACGTTGTCCATGGGGTTGCGATGGGTTGGACACGACTTCGCAACTAACAACAACAATCTCATGAAGGAGATCTAAGAGCAGGTGGCCAGAAATCTGGGGAAAAAACAATAAAAACATTTCAAATGATTCTGCCTCAGTGAAATGACTAATAAACAAAGGGTTGAAAATTCATTATAAATTCACGATTCTGACTTTGTCCCTAATAGTCCCTTATGTTTGGCTTACTAAAGCCCAGCTAGGTTCAACCTGATAACACCATTGCCTGGCATTTTCTGTCCTTTGGTGGTCCTCCTCCTCCTCCTCCTCCTCCTCCTCCTCCTCCTCATCATCATCATCAGATTGATACCCCACCTTTCCAACAAGAGCTCATGGGGCAATAGGTAGCATTCTTTCCTCTGATTTCCCTCCCCCCAGAAGATTGGAGAGATAATAATTAGCCAAAGCTACCCAATAGGCTACCATTCTCAAGGTAAATTTTAGACTCTCCACAATCCTGCCCAAACAACCTCAGGAATGCTCCAAGTCAAAGCATCCTGGCTGGTTGAGGTCAGAGAGAATGACACAAATGAGCTCTGAGCTTTGGCAGAAGCCTTAGGACCTTGGACAGCTCCCTGCAGGAAGTCACAGGGTGCCCAGACACCTGTTGCTCTACCAGTATTTCTCAAACTGGCAACTTTAAGACATGTGGACTTCAACTCCCAGAATTCCCCACCCAGTCCATATTGCTAGGTTTGAGAAATGCTGCTCTACCACAGGCCTATCAACAGCTAAGGTCTTAAGACACACAGTCTGGTGAGCCTAGCTATGCTCCTGCTGATTGCTGAGTGTATGCCAGCTCTTCAAGTTATATCAGACTAAGGAACCAATGCTATGTAGGCCATGCTATATAGGCCAACACTACTTTCATTGTACAATTAAAATAATGGAATTTTGCAACTCTTAATGCACTTCTGTAACGGCATATGGGAAAGAGTCACTCTCCAGCGAAAAGTACCGTCTTTTCCTGCTTCAGCATCACTCACCAAAGTTCAGTGTGAGACTTTTTATTTCAAATTAAAAAGCAATAAGCCACAGATATAATTGCACATAAACAACAATCGACATCCATAAATCGAATAACACTTTTACCATTTAAAGGTCCTGGCTTCTGGGAATAAATCCTGGGAACTGTAGCTGGGCAAAACGCTACGGTAGAAATCTGATGGAGATGCTGACTCCCCAAGACTGATATTTCCCAGGATTCCCCAGTAAGAATAACTGTGAAAACAATTTAGAGCAATCATACTGACATTAATGCGAATTTTTCTTCACTTTTACCAGTGCCATCTACTAGACCAGGGTCAGCCAACTATGGTCTGCAAGGCAAATCTGGCCTACCGCCAGTTTTGCAGGGCCTACAAACTAAGAATTGAGAGGCAGACAGGTGGCAGATTGCCAGATTTGAGTCTCAGCCAAACTCCTGGGGCAAAGGTTGGGGCCAAGCCATCCTGGGCAGGAGCAGTCTACCAACAGTCTCCTTGCTGGCAGATCAGCATCTTCTAATACTGTAATTACCATGCTCCTTGGCTTGCAGACCTGCCAGTCAGAGTGGTAGAAGAGAGGCAAGATCTGGCCCTCTACAGCAGAGGTCTCCAAACCTGGCAACTGTAAGACTTGTGGGCTTGAACTCCCAGAATTCCACAGCCAGCCAAACAGAAGAGGTTTGGGTGAACTCTATCTAGATCAGGGGTTCTCAACCTTGGCAACTTTAAGACTTGTGGACTTCAATTCCCAGAATTCCTCAGCCAGCTTTGCTTTGCTGGCTGAGGAATTCTGGGAGTTGAAGTCCACAAGTCTTAAAGTTGCCAAGGTTGAGAACCCCTGATCTAGATGATAGCAATCTCAATCTTCAAACGTAAAAAACAGTAAAAAAAATGCAATCAGTATGCCCAACAGCTTCTTTCCTAATAAGGAAACCTTATGGTACAGGTAGTCTTCGATTTATAATCAGTTATTTAGCGACCGTTCAGAGTTATGATGGACCCTGAAAAATGGACTTATGAGCCGGATCCAAAGTTCCGATGTCCCGTTTTCACATCTCCCACAGTCACATGGCTGCATTTGGGGCACTTGGCAACCAGGCTGCATTTATGGTCATTTGCGGCACCCCCAGTTACCTGACATTTTTGCTGAAAACCAGTGTTTATTTCTAATTCCTGGCAAAAATCATCTCATAATGAACAATGGGTTTGCTTAGTGACTGCAGTGTTCATTTAACAACCATGGTGTTTGCTGTATAATCACAGTGTTTGCTTAATGAACAGCACCAAAAGGTTGTAAGATTGGGCACGCTCACATGGTGACCCACTTTGTGACTGAGAACACGAGTTTAATTACAGTCATAAGTCGAGGACTACCTGAATAGTATCTGCTTAGACACAATACAAACAAAATCTATGGAAATTTCACATCCAATGCATTGTCATCTGCATTCCCACTGTATAATCTTATTTCTTTTACCCAGAAAACACCTTAGGTACTAGCTTATTAATCAAGATGCAAAGTATTTCTCCAAATACAAATATGTTTATATTCTTTCAAAGAGCATGCATATCACTCCTGATTTGTACTCATGATGGCAGTAATCACCCAAATACTACAATCAGTAAAGTCAGTTTACATTATTATCCTATATTATACTTTGTAATACATTTCTTCTGTTGAAAAATATAGAAAAGCAAAAGACAAGTCTCTCTACACCGATGAATCATAAATGTTAAAGCTTTTTTTTTCAGTTTGAGAAGGACCTCTGCAACATGAAATCCATCACTAGAAATGTATATCCATATATTTGATTCTACGATTCTATTATTGATGGAATCATCTGCAGGAAAGGAAAATTAAAATAAACATTATGTAAAATACTTTAAATAATAAATTTTACTTCTACCCAAAAGATGCTGGGTGAAATATATAAGCCTTGAAGGTAACTGGAACCAGCTGAGGTCAGCAGATGACATTGAAGAACTGGGGGATGTTGTTTTATACTAACTTTGACATAAATTTGATATTCTATGACACCAAAGAAATAGCACATAAACAAATTGGGCTTGGTCAACTGGCCAAATATTTTCATATTATACTCCCTAATTTAGAAATTTTGGAAAATATCAAACACTCTCAGAAACTTTCTAACTCTAACTCTTTCTAACTCTAAGAGAGGACCTGGTTTTGATAGCAAGTCACTCACAGTTTGTGTTCACCAAACACTATAGACTAGAAAGCACTAGCTTGTAGCTGAGTGTGTTACTGCAAAACTACCCATAGGACTAGGTATCTCTTCAATGTATTGTGTGAGCTCAGCCAAGTTGCTTGAAGAAAGCATCAAATGTGAAACGTCAACCATATTTTACAAAAACAATATATATATTTGGCTTGGAAGGAGAGACAAAAAAGGAGTGAAGAGTATGAAGCAAGAACATCTGAATAGTTGTTCTTTGCAGGATCAGGGAGAGGGAGCTACAATTATCAGATCCACCAACAGGCTGCCAGATGAGAATCAATTTAACACGTTGCAGAGTAACGTAGCTAATGGGCGGATGACGCGCTCAAGGAGCCGGGCGCAGAGACAGGCAGCTGTATATAGGCAAGCTCCCTAATCACCTAGCATTTTAACTCTGATGACGTCAGTAGTTTGGCTGATGAAAGCTCAGTAAGCAACTTTTTTACTCACAGGCTTGTTTATATTAATAAGTCCTGTTTATTTTTATCCTGGTGTTCGTTTTTCATATATATATATATATGTTTTCTGAGGTTTTCGCGGGTGTTTGTATGTAGGTCTTTGGTTGTTCGGGTTTTCTCCCACGTAAAATTGGAAGTGTCTTGGCGACGTTTCGACGAAGTCCCATTCGAATTGCTGCTCGAAGCACGAAGCTGAAAACACCAGCCTGAAGATGACGAATGGGACTTCGTCGAAATGTTGCCAAGACACTTCCAATTTTACGCGGGAGAAAACCCAAACAACCAAAGACCTACATACAAATACCCGCGAAAACCTCAGAAAACATATATATATAATATATATATATATATATATAATATATATACAATATCTATATATATATAATATATTATATATATATATATATGCCAGGCTTTGCAAGCAGGAAACAATATTCTGCAACAGCTGTTTGCACCCACATAAATCTGACAGACATTTAGTTAAATTTTGGTAGCCTTTCTGGGTGTGGAAGACAGGAATTATAAAAATAAAATTCAAGGAAATATGGCACACTTGTTTAAAAAAAGGCCAGTGGGATGTTAATATTGAGAAGTACAATTGAGAGGCCCAAGGATATATGTCTCTTTTTTCCAAGAGAATGAACAGATTAAGGAGGAAAGATTTTGAGAAGAGGGAAAAGGCCACATAGGGGAGAATGAAGCTTTTTCCTTCTTGATCTTGGGAAAAAAAGTGAAAGATTGGATGGAAGGGTTGCAATTTGGGATTTCCTGGGTGGAATCCCAAACTGGGAAGCTGGAAAAGCATCTTGTAAGAAGGCAATTCCATATAGTCCTCGACTTAGAACCAGTTGCTCAGTGACCATTCAAAGTTATGATGAACACTCCCGAAGTTATAAATTGGTTCCAAAGTTCTGACAGCTGCCCCCCCCATATAGTCACATGACTGCATGTCAGGCACTTGGCAGCTGCTCATATTTAGCTATTTGCAGCATCCTGCAGTTACTGCGATTTATTGTGTTTTTGCAAAAAAAAGTGGCATTTACTTCTGGATTGGGGCAAAACTGGCCCATAATGAATAATGGGTTCACTTAACAACTACAGTATTTGCTTAATGGCCACCGAAAAGGTCATAAAATTAGGTCAATCACATAGGAGCCCTTACGACCATAAGGCTCCATTACAGTTGTAAGTTGAGAAGTACCTGTATTATTTCTTCACTTATGCAAAAATTTATGGGCTTCAAGAGGCTACTGGACTTCAATTTTAGCCAGTGGTAAAGAATTTCTGGAAGTTAACATACAACTGTGTTACTTTCAAAGTTACAGTATTCAATACTGCTTTTGTTTTTTCTTTTAAATTTAAAGAAACATACATGCAGTTATGTTTAAAATCTTATTTGGTCTCCAAGGTGGAAACACCCTTGGAAAAGTTTGGTTTATTTGGAAGTAAAGTGAAACATGCTTCTGCTTTTAATTTAAAGAGGTCACTGCCCAAAATGTAGGGAACAAGACCCTTTTTCTTCAATCAACCCAGGCACAGAATTATATGTTGACATCCAAACCTTGTAAAGTGGTTCAACATACATCAAGGATCAGCTGAAGAACAGGAGATACAATTTGGATTGTGGGTTGGTTACATTCTGGACACATGTTGATTGGTTCACAAAATCAGCTTCAATTCAGCATCATCCCATTTTGATAAGTTGATGAGGGCCAAAGAAGGAATCAGATGTAGATTACCCAAATACAAGGTTGGGGAGAAGAATCCTGCCCATTCTAAAGCCTTCCAGATCTTTGGTTTCAAGATTCTTGTTTTGCATACTGATAGGTTTAAATTTTAAGGGCTGAAAAAGTTGTAAGCTCCTGGAAGCAGGAAGTGAGCTGGGATAGAAAGCTTGGATAGCAAACCAACTCAAAACCCATTGTTCCTAGCAAGAAGGATGGAGCTAACATGGGTGATAAATAAGACAGAGTACGGACATGGCCAGGAGGAACAGAAATTTGGCAGTTTGGGGTGGTTATGAAATAGTGGCACAGAACTACCTCTTCTGTATCATAAGGATGTCATGCCATGCAAGTTGTATCATGGTTTGAAGCATCTGACATTCTATCCAATTAGTAGCACAAGACTTGATAACTGACTCCCAAAGTTCTCACTTCAAGCTTCTTTCCATCTCAGATACTTAGCAAGTATTTTATAAGTCTATATGTCCACATTTTTTTTTTGGTTTTTTTCTCCATGATTATAGGCTCATCTGCATCTCTTATTTCATTTCACTTCACTGTAGTACCATCTGCATCTCTTATTTCATTTCACTTCACTGTAAGTTGTATTTACAGTACATTCACACTCAGAAGCGATGCACCCTGGAAAATATCTTGAAAAAAAGTATATGTCCACATAAAATAATATTCCTTGGAGTGTCTATGATTAACTGGCTGATAACCTTCTGATGTGTTCTGGGAGGAACATCAAACATGAGAAAAGTCCACTGCGGCAAATTGCAAACAAACCGTGATCCTGATGACCCTTATTTGGAAGGCCAAGCTATGAAATGAAGAGATGGAAGGGTGCTTGTTTTTCACAATTCTCCCTAAGTTGGGGTTTTAGTGTGCACCATGCCTTGCTGGACATGTCGAATAAGTTCTTTGCGGTTGTCCAGGATAATGTCAAAGCTCTCCTGCAGTCGATTTTGCTGGTCTGCAACCGCCTGCTGGAGGCTGCGAATCCAGCGGAGCAAGGCCAGGCGGCGATACATCACTAAGTGGACGTGATGTTTCTCTTTCTCCAACTTCTTCCTCTCCTGCATGGTCCTGAAAGCATCTGCCAGTACTGGGGAGAAGATCTCAGAACTAGAGGAAGAGCTGTCAAAATCACCATAAGGAGCTTGGTGCTCAGCATTACATGTCCAGTCTTCATCAGCGACAGAAGGTATCTTCCAAGCATTGGTGCCACCACTCTCAGGGCTATCAACACTTAGAGGACTGCTGGAATAATCATTATCTTCTAGAGAGGAGCAAGCCAGATTCCCTCTTTCCTTTACCTTCACCTGGTGGTTGGTCTCTTGTTCTGGACTTCTGACCTCAGCACCTTCAGGTGGTCTACGGATGCCCTCCTCTTCTCCTTCCTTTTCCTCCTCCAAGCCCAGGAAGTTGTCATCAGACTTTAGGTTCTGAGAAATGTCTCTAGCGCAATTCTTTGCTTTCTGTTGGTATATTAGATCGGCCAGATTCTCAGATACCTTCTTTATCCCATTGTCATGCAGTTGTTCCCATTCCTCTGGCATCAGCGTCTTTGATATGGGTTGGCTCCAGTTTTCATTGCTATCATGGGACTTCTCATCCACAAAGTTGAGGTTCTTGTCTGGATGGGAGTCCTTTTTGTTACAGTAGATCACATCCCGCTGTGAATTTTCCTGGGCTTCATTGAGCTGTGGATGGAGGGGGAAGTCCGGTTGGCACATGGCAAACATCGATGCCCCCAGCCAACTGGGAAAGAGAAACCAGCAGAGAAAGAAATGTAGATGTAAAGACATGACCAATATGCAGAAAAATCCCAACACTCCTAGGTGGTCTTCCTGAAATTCATGCTTTCGATCCCAGGCCAATCTCAGCATTCAGACCTGTCTTAAAGTCTGGATCATCAAATTAAAAAAAAAAACTGTGATCAGTAACCATGTGATCAGAGCTGACTGGCCTTCTTCTGAATACAGTCTAGTTTTCCAGGACTTAAGGAAAGTTTTCTTTGCTCCTATAATGAACTTCTGGTTATCTAAATCCTGATTTATTTCATTAACTCAATTATGCAGGTTCATGCAACACTAAACTAGCAACTGACCAGCCAAGTTGAATTCACATTGCATACAGTACTGACCCACAAATTAACCACAAATTGGTCCAGTGAGTTGTGTGAAACCACCCCTAATTGCTTCCTAGAGCAACCAGTGCTTCTTTTGCTGGGGGGGGGGGAAGGAAAAAATAACTTCATGCTATCCCCTCCAAGTAATTCACAAACTGACTATATTTCCATCTTTCTAAGCATGGGTGACTGTGTTGCATAGCCTTTTTCTGGCTTAAAGTCACAACAGTCCTCTGAATACATGTTGGGGTGAGACGATCATGTCACTCTAAGTCAGTGGTTCTCAACCTTTCTAATGCCGCTACCCCATAATACAGTTCCCCATGTTGTGGTGACCCCCAACCACTTATACATCACCGGGTGCCAGGGGCGTGGCCAAAGAAAAGGGGGAAAAAATGGCGGACAGCCTTATTTGGCGACCCCCATGAAATGGTCGTTCGACCCCAAATGGGGTCCTGACCCACAGGTTGAGAACCACTGCTCTAAGTGGGCCCTGGATGAGTACTTTAGCTGATCTAAGTTTTACTACAATTAAATGAATATAACACAGTCATCAAAATGAACACAGAACATGGAATAATAAAATTGGAAGAAAACATTTGAGGTCTTCTAGTCCAATCCCCTACTCAAGCAGGAGACTCTATGCCAGGGATAGGCAACCTTGGCTCAGGAATTCTGGGAGTTGAAGTCCACGAGTCATAAAAGAGCCAAGGTTGCCTTCCCCTGCCCTATACTATTCTGGACAAATGGCTGTCCAGTCTCTTCTTGAAATCCTTCAGTGATGGAGCACCCAATAAAGCAGGGGTGTCAAACTGCCGGCCCACGGGCCAGATGAATCATAATGAAACCACACCCACCCCATTGCCGGCAATGGCAAAAAAGTCACGATACGTCACGTGACGTTGTGAGTTTGACACCCTTGCAATAAAGGAAAATATTTGTAGCTCTGGGTTGAAATGAAGGGTCTTTTGTTGCCCTCTGAGCTTGATTGTTTTCTTGCAGGTGCTTCATTACCCAAACTAGGTAACATTATCAGTGCTAGTCACAATGACTTTCCATATATTTAATCACTCTGTCCCCCTTTTCCTCCCATAACGGTTACCTTGAAAATACAGGCTTAATCTTGTTACCCAAATAATTCTGATAAGAGTTATAAACTGACCAAACAGATTGTTTGCAAAAGAGGTAAAGCTAACTCCTTCACCGCACCCAAATTAATCTAAACAGGCTTTGCAAGTTATGCAAAGCCACTGTGAGGCCTTTAACACTTTTGTGTCTTGTGCACAAACATCGGAAGGCTCAGAACGTGGCAAGCAGAGATTACAGGGCTCTGCCACCCTTGGGGCTGCGAGTTGTGTCCTTCAGCGGTAGGTCAAATGAGGGCAGATCTGAACCAGACAGCTGGAATATAATAAGCTTGGACAAGCTGGCAGAAGGGGGACGTTTATCCAGTCAGCCCCCTTCTCCCCCCAAAAACAGACACCCAAAGCGGGTGAAAGGGGAAAAAAAACACACGAGCCAATTCCCATACAATCTTTAAAGATACCAAGATGGAATGGGGGGGGGGGTTTCCAAAATCTTGACTCAGCATTGCTAACATCTGTGGGCTCCCCTCTCCTCCCCCCCCCCACCTCCATTTTCCAAGCAAGCTGTAGAAAATATTTCTTCCCTTTCCTGGCTGAGAATGACGCTGTCCTTTAAGCTTTCCCTGTCGGGGAGGTGGGAGAAGGCTGGACCTGTCTGCCGTTTTAGGACATGTGATTTAAGGGGGGGGGGATGTCAGGAGCAGCGCCACTGGTCTTGCTACCAAAGTGCAGGCAGGTTGCGCCAAGGAAGGAAGGAAGGAAGGGAGGGAGGGAGGGAGGGAGGGAGAAAGTGGGAGCCGCTCATGCTCGGGGGTCCCGCTAAAAGGATTATTGCCCCCCCCCGTCCTCTTCCCGGAAGCCCTGGCCGCGGGCGTGGCACTCACCGCTGGAGCCTCGCTGGAATCAAGCTGGGAGGCGCGCCCGGGCGAGAGGGGGGGGGAGGCGAATGGCAGGATTTGGCCAGCCGACCGTTCTCTTCTGCGGAGTGAGACGCGGGAGGGGGGGCGGAAATGGCCCAGATCGGGAAGGTTGCAAAGAAGCACTGCCCGCTTCCTGGAGGTGCCCAGAAGGCGGGGGGGGGCGGCGATTGCGAAGAGGGAAGGCGAGGGAGAGAACAGGTGACCCCGGGAAATCGATGCGTACGAACGGCTCCTCTCTCCTTCACACACAAGCCCGAGTCCTGAAGCGATTCCCAGCAGCGGGTTCACACGACCAATACGTGAGGGTGGACAAGACGCGAGGACGACTGGGTGGGTGACGTTTGGGGTGGGAGGGGTGGGTTCACTTGGCCCTGGGGAAATCCGTGGACTCCTGACCCTTTCTGAAAGCTGATGGGGCTGCGAGGCAGCCAGCCCTTGTCCTCTGCTTTGTCAAGCTTGGGGGGGGGGTCCATTAAGGTTTTGCTCGGAATCATCTAACACGCCCCCTTCAGCCAACACCCAAAGATTAATGTAGGATTGAGGGTGTTCTGCAAACTCAGTTGGGTTAATTGAATAAAATGTGTTGCAGCTAATCAGAGGTGTGAGTTGTGCAAATACGGTGGTGGGGAATGCAAGGAAGCTCGAGCGTGGGTGTCCCCTAGTTTTAAAGTTGCCAGGGTTAGACACCCCTGCTCTAAATGTTGAATATTTAGCCTGTTTAGTAGGAGATTACCCTTGGTGATTAAATACTCTGCATGGGGAAGAGGAGTATACATATCATGACGTCATCAAACAATGTCATCACACCTGTGACTTTGTTGTAGCATGTACCAGGTACTTATGCTGCCTTGGTCCATATTTGAGAAGCCATCAGTGCAAAAAAATAAATAAATTGCATAATAGTTGTGTTGTTGCAACATATTAATCCACGGTTAAGTGGACCGTTGTTTTTCTGGGTTTGCCCATCCGACAGAACTATCAATTAACTACCCAAAACTGGGTTCTCATATGCTAAACTATTTAAGCTATGGTGAGTCAATGTCAGAATCCAATTATATTTCATCTCTAGTTATCGACTATGGAAAACCCCATTTCTGCCCTCTCTGGATTCTGTCATATGATGAAGGGGAAGGGGGTGTGTGAACAAAGGGGTTTTATGGCCCTCACTTCCTTCGGTACAACTTCAAAAGGGACTGAATGTGGATACCACCAAAAGGACTAACCATAACAATGAGGCCATCAGCTTTCATCTACTCCCCTCTGAAGTCTCCCTTCTGCCGGCAGTGAGGAAAAAGGGGGTGGAAATGTAACGCCTGGGATTGTCACTGGAAGGATGGAGGGGTGGGGTGGGGTTGCTGGGAACCCCTTAAAACCTTGAACCATAGGGCTTGGCCCCCAAATCCTGTCTAGAATGCCTGCAACCATTTTCTCTTAATAAAGATGCCTGTTGGAAGAAATATTCCAAGAGTTCTTAACATGCAAAGTGGGGTGGGTCCTTACAGCCAATTTATTACATGAATCTAACTAGTGGTTCAAAACAGTGGCTATCAGTTCCTTCAAAGATTGTTGAATTACATTAAAACATATATTGTCAACCATGTGTTACTAAACCAAAAGATTGGGTTCATACAACAAAACCATAAGCTACAGTTTAGAAAGCAGAAACTGAATTGCTTCAGTGTATCAAGGCATTCTGATTTAGTATCTTATATAAATCCAACCAAATATGACTACAATGTTTGCAGTTTGGTGTAGTGTTTAATGTGCTGGCCTAGAAACCAGGAGACTGTGAATTCTAGTCCTGCCTTAGGCACGAAAGACAGCTGATTGATTTTGGGCCAATCACCAGTGTTATGGTGAGTTCTAGTTCTGCCTTAGGCGTGAAAGCTAGCTGGGTGACTTTAGACCAGACACTCCCTCTCAGTCCACCGTAAAACAGCCAGCTTAGCAAGTGTGAAATCTATTTAGAACTTATGCTCAGCTTTATATGTTCAGCCATGGGTTATCAAGTATATTACAAGAAAATCTTCATCAAAGCCACCTACTCTGGCTGGGGTTTAGCTGCAGTGCAATGGTCTACCCTCTGACATGGCTTTGCCCCCATGTCTTGGGCCTGCCCTTATTCTTCTTCAAAGCTTGGTTCACACGCGGCATTGCTTAAACCTTGGCTATTTCTCCTTCCTGACAGAAAAGTGTTAGAGCAATAGGCTTTTGTGATGCAGCAGCAGCTGCTGAGCAAAGACTTTAGGCTTCTGCTGGGAACAATTTTGTTCAAAGGCTGGGTGAGATCAGTCAATGGAAAACAGCAGCAGATGAAAAGCAGGTGGCTCTAAGGGCTTGTAAGAACCTGGGATCAGGCCTCAAGTGCCCAACCCCAAAATCCAGATGTTTGGGGTTTCTGCTGGAACTCCATCTCAGTTAAAATGGCCCCACTATGTCAAAACTGCAAGAAATCAAAGAATACTCTGAGGAAGTAGATTCCTAAAGTAGGATATTAAAGCAAAATACGATTGTCTTGCAATAGCTTTGTGGTCTTCCAGTTGGATTCCAGGCTCAGCCTGTCCCAAACCAGCCTTTTCCCTGATGTGTTAAAATTGCAACAGTTGTAATTCTCATTTGGCTTTCCTTGCCTGGAATCCTCAATGGCTCTTGAGATGTTTAGAAACTCCGTTTTTAGAGCCATGTTCAGAGCTGTGGTGGCCACAGTAGTTAGAATGCCGTATTGCAAGCTAACTCTCCTGCTGCCAGGAGTTCGATTCTGACCAGCTCAAGGTTGACTCGGCCTTCCGAGGTCAGTAAAACCAGGATCCAGATTGTTGGAGGCAAATATGCCGACTCCATAGAGAGAGAGAGGCTGTAAAGCAAAATGAAGTGATATATAAGTCTAAGCCAGAGGTGGCAATCCTATGGCACGGGTGCCAGAGGTGGCATGCAGAGCCCTCTCTGTGGGCACGCGTACCGTCGCCCCAGTCCTAGGCCTTCAGCTGGGTTTTATAAAACCTTTTCGCTTTAGGCCTCCACGGCCTGTGCAAAAAAAAAAAAAAAAGGTTCAATCAGTCAATTTCAACTTCTCGCGGGGAAAAAAAGATCTTGCAAAGTTGGAATTGATTGATTGAACTTTTTAGTCCCACCCAGTCTGCCGTTACCACCGTGGCCACACCCACCTAATGGGCCACACCCAGCCAATGGGCCACACCCACCCGGCACTTGACAATGCATAAGTGGGTTTTGGGTTGCAGTTTGAGCACTCGGTCTCTAAAAGGTTCGCCATCACTGGTCTAAGTGCTATTGTTACTCTTTGTTTACATATTGCTGTCCATCTCTCCTCGCTAGTTCAAGACTACATGGTCTTACCCAGTGTTTCTCAACCTTGACCACTTTAAGATGCATGGACTTCATCTCCCAGAATGCCCCAGCCAACTTTGTTAACTGGGGTATTCTAGTACTTAAAGTCCATGCATCTTAAAATGACCAAGGTTGAGAAACACTGGCCTTACCCTTCTGGTTTGTATTTTGCAAAATATCTATTATACAATTGTATGTAAATCACTGCAGTCTCATATACACCTTTGAGATTTCCATGCCAGATGTTGTTGGTGTAGAGGGTTTTTTTGGATTTAGGAGTTAGGGAAAAGCATAAAATAAAAATCTAAAAACATTCAACCCATCACTACCCACAGCCAGCAACATGCTTTTTTATTCAGATAGATAGAAATGAGAGGAAGCTCAGCATAGTATTACACCACAGCAGCAAAAATTGGATTGCATAAAGTTAGAGAAAGCTAATTTATCCTGATAAATCTTTGGATGAAGCAAGCATTTTGGTCCAAAGCAAAGTAGCCCCATTGTTGTTTTAACTGTAACTGAATTTCTGATTATTTTTTTTTAAAAAAAAGTTGTTATCCATCTCCCAGAGTTACCTTTCTATGCGCTGAGTGGCTATTTTAAACAAATAAACACAACATAAACAAAATCTATATTCTCCTCCCTGCTCAGCTTCCCTGAGCTGACTGGGAAAGAAATGTTTTGTTTGCAAATGTGCCAAGTGTTAAAGGGAGATTTGGGGGCGGGGAATCTTTCCAACTGCATTTTGCTTAATGCAATTTTCCATCTATCTATCTATCTATCTATCTATCTATCTATCTATCTATCTATCTATCTATCTATCTATCCTATCTATCCTATCTATCTATCATCTATCTATCTATCTATCTATCTATCTATCTATCATCTATCTATCTATCATCTATCTATCTATCTATCTATCTATCTATCTATCCTATCTATCATCTATCTATCTATCTATCTATCTATCTATCTATCTATCTATCTATCATCTATCTATCCTATCTATCATCTATCTATCTATCTATCTATCTATCTATCCTATCTATCATCTATCTATCTATCTATCATCTATCTATCTATCTATCTATCTATCTATCTATCCTATCTATCTATCATCTATCTATCATCTATCATCTATCTATCTATCTATTTATCTATTTATCTATCCATCTATCTATCCATCCATCCATCCATCCATCCATCCATCCATCCATCCATCCATCTATCTATCTATCTACCTACCTACTTACCTACCTACCTACCTACCTACCTACCTACCTACCTATCTATCTATCTATCTATCTATCTATCTATCATCTTCATCCCCACATAACAAGCCTGTCAAGTATCCAACATTTGTGGCCATGCATGTGACTTGAAATTTTCTATGCTTTCTGTTGTTCTTCAGTTAGCTTCCCCAGAGCCTGGACTGATAAAATAAAAGGTCTTTTATAACAATATTGTGCTACAGAAAAAGCACATGGAAGACACAACCCCCCCCCAAAAAAAACCGTTTCATAGCTTACATATCCTGCTAAGTCAGGCTTGACTAAGCCATAATGGTTAGATTTGAGAAAAGCTACATTATAAACCAGGAATCCCAGGCTTGATCAATATGAATGTGACTGGCTGTAACTACCTCAGGTCTGGATGTCAAAGGTCCACTGAGGCAACAGATCTTGGAATGAGGAACAATTCAAGAAATATGGGATCAAATCTGAAAACCAGATGTTCTAGGTAAACATGGAGCTATTCATATGTATTCAGCTTTTTTTCAAGGCTTATTTAAGTT